CTCTCTCTCTCTCTCTCTCTCTCTCTCTCTCTCTCTCTCTCTCTCTCTCTCTCACACACACACAAAAAACAAATCTAAAGTAAACCTCATCTGCAACTTAAGCATGTTTTATACTTGGCATGCATATACTGCAAGGTAAGAACTTAAACAGAACAGACGTGAGTAAAAAATATATATTTTTACACTGTGACAAGTAGGGCTGCAGAATCGACTGCTTCAAACAGCTTTGTGTATCAACCTCATATTTAATTAGTACCAATAATTCAAATAAATATAAATGTAGCCAAAGCAACATATGTTGAGATTTATACACACAATAAAATGTTAATAGCCTTAGTTATCTCAATGTTAACTGGTTGTGGAAAATAAAATGATCTTATCTTGTGTTGTTTTATTCCTCAAATATTTTATGTTTTAAACCATTCAATTTATTTTATTTATTGTGTATGCACATTTGGTTTCTACTGATGCCTTTTTTCTCATTTTGAGACTTTTATATTTATAAGGATGGCTGTGGCAGAGTTGATAGGGGAATCATTCTGTAAGTGGTGTGTAGCTGGTTCGTTCCCCTGTTCCGGCTGTCTGTATTTGTGTCCTCTGGCATGATACTTCACCCACCTTGCCTATGGATGGTGGTCCGGTGGTGCCGGCGCATGGCAGTCTGCCCCAGGGCAGCTGCAGCTATAATAAAGCTTACCCACCATCAGTGTGTGAAAGTCTGTAAGTATAAAGCTCTTTAGAGTCCAACGGGACTTAATAAAGTGCTACATAAGTTCTGTCCATTTACCATATTATCGCTCGTTATTTGTATTTTCACTACTATCTTGACACAGAGTCTCTGGAAGAAGAGATTAATTATCTCGATATGATTTTTATGGTAAAAGAAAGAAAAAAAATTAAAATAGATTACGAAATGAAATATTTTAAACAAACACATAAATATGTTCTGTATGGGTTCTGAAAATACTGAAAAAATATAGTAATAATAATCTCTTTTGTGTTAGGGAAAAATGTGACAAAAATGCATTAAGGTTTAGTTAGTTATTTTATTATTATTATTTAAAATATGCTGAGGCACAAAAAAACATTCAGTACTTTCATTTGYCAAATGTCACCACTAAAGGAAGAGCCAGAGACAAGGTCATTTGGGAGGCAGTGTGTGAAACGGTGCAAAGCTGCATGGTAATCACAGAAAATGAATCAAAATCACTCATGCAGAACTAGCTTAGCTTATTGCAGGTAAATACACAGGCTGCAGTGGCCAGGTTTAAACACTGACTCAGTCAGACAGGCTTAACTAGGTAAAGCATGAGAAAGACACGCAAACAGATGATGAGCTGAGCAAAGCTAATCAAAATGATGGCAAGGTAATGTCAGCAGTTAGTCATCTAACTAATATTATATTATATCATTAAGATTTAGCAAGCAAAGTRCCGGTAAATATATCTTTTCAGTGCCAATTATTCTATGATTATGCTGTGATTAATATGTCCATTCAAATACATGAAAATACGCTGGGTCTCAGGATTCCCATCAGATCAGAGGCTTTAAAAATCCTATTACTTTCAGCCAAGGCAAAAAAAAAAAAAAAAAGAAAAAAAAGAAAAAAAGAAAGAGGCAAACACCCTCCTGGCTAATGATTTGAAGTAAAGAAAATAATACATTTCAAGCCCTAATTTCTATTTAAATGCCATAATTTCATGGCCAGGTTAAATCATACTGTCATATGTACAGTACTTGATTATTTCTACTTTCATTTTCTATCTGCTTTTGAGATAGTGATAAAAAAATCACTTTGTACAGGGCACTGTAAAAAATGGAAACTAAAAGACAAAAGGGCAATATTAGGACAAAAAACTGACAGCAGTTGAACGGTATGTGGAAGTCATGTCTTCAAAAATTAGAATAAAAAAAATCTGCAAAAAATCTGACACAGGATCTGACAATTGTACTTTCCCTTACAGGTCAAATTAAAGTTAAGAAGCTTAAAAAAGCATTCCTCTAAAAAAAAATCTATCAATAATTTAATATTTTTGTATGACACTGATTGCTGAAAATATTTTTAAAATGTTCTTTTTTTCCCAAAATAAGTCATTTGACGGGTAAATTAAAAATATTTTTTCTTAAGTGATTCCTACTGTATACAGCAGTAATTTGAAGTATTGTTAAAAGTAAATTGATGGACATACTCAACAGTTTAAATAGCCATCTGATATAGTGGTASAATCATAATCATCTCATTTTAGATGAACAATAAATATTATCTTTTCCAGTAGACAATCCAAAGTATACTGATGATACACAGCACTGGGACTCATCAGTGTGAGAATGAATAATCTTGCAGAGCAGAGGTGGAACACTCAGTGAACAGTTGTGGGGACAACAATCTGTCCCTTAATGACAATTAAACTGAAGAAAATTGTGGGAATTCAGAAATTATTTTTCATGCTACTAGMAAATTACTACTGGCCATCATGAGGGCTGAGAGCAACCACTTTTGGTCTCTTTTGATTCACCGCTGACAAAACATTTTAAAGTGAGGACAATATTGAGAAAGACTTAATATTTCAATCATCAGACATGTACTTACTGCAGAAAACATCCCAAAAAACACATTAGTTGTATTGTGATGATCAATAATATAAAAAAAGAATTGTCTGTACATTCCGTTTGAAAATTTTGCATAATTTCTAATTTATTTGCTCACAGACAGACAGACAGACAGACAGACAGACAGACAAAGGTAAGCTAAGAATTATACATACTCGTATAGCTGATATTGAAGCCTTTTCCCGTGTTTGAATGATCAGACTGAAACTCCAGTCTCATAATGTGTGCATTCGAAGCGATCTGTGAGGGGACATCTTTTCCTGAGAACGTCCCAAAGGTTGTTGATTCAGACAAACCTGAAATAAAACACAGTTTAGAGTAAAAATGTTAGCGAGACATTTTAAGYTAAAACCTGCCTTGAGGCTTATAGCAATGCACTGAATGCTGTCGAAAAAATAGGTGCAGAAATTTAAGAGCTCTACAAGCTAAAATAGTCAAAGTTTAATTAATTTACATTCAGCTTAATTAACTGTTGCATTTTGGTGGTAATGAGAGAGAAAATATTGTGGCTACAGTAAAATGAAAACACATTAATTTGTCATCATTCAGATCTCCAGCAAATGCAAGGTTGTACTACTACAGTAGATAYTGCACTTATCACAAAAATGTCAGATGACCATAAAGGCAAAACTAATTGTTTATTCTGGTAAATCTAGGCTTGCAGCTTTAAAGTTGGAAAACTACATTACACCACACAAGGTTTTTCTTTTTAGTTATTTATTCATTTTGGCAATGATCCTGTTTTAGGAAGTTCAAAGTAGTTTAGTTACCCTGATGGTTCAAAGAAAGTACTGTCACAAAGAGGCTGCAAAGTACGTTTCTAGAAATGCTGCTTCAAATGAAACTAAGAGACAGTTGCACCAGGTATTAAATTGTCCTAGCCATTACTGTTCCTACACCTGAATGTGTTCTGAACTATGCATTCCTGGACAATTCTATCACCACAGGACGAAGCATTATATTCTTCAATGCACCCATCATCCCTTGGGGGTATGTGATTGCAATGACTTCAAAGGCGTCACTATACAGTCATTAAAGAACTCAGTGTGTACCAGATGAATGACCCTAAAACTCCCTGCCAGTCTGCAAAGCCGTAACCATGCATCACCTCAGTTCTTTATGACACATTTGAGTCACAGCATCAGACCATTTACTCAGACAAATTGCGATCGAGTTTTGTTTGGCAGAATACACTCTGCTCTTGAAGGTGCTCCCCAACGAGCCAACAGATTCGGAGGGGACAACGATAAAACAACAAAGGTGTGCACAGAGCACAACCCAGCAGGCCCAAATCAGCTCAGCTATAGAGTGTACATAAAGCACAACGAAGGAGATTTCGTCCACAAATACGAGCACTGAAGGCACTAAACAAGCAGAGGACTGATGGTGACAAGATGAGTTGCTACTGCCACTAATTCATCTTGTATCAGGTAGAATTGAACAGATAAACTGCGTGCAGCACCATGACGAATGAGCACAAGTGAGACAGTTAAGTGCTCATAGATACCAACTTAATGTCTTGATTAAATGTGAAAAGTTATTAGTACTGAGAACTTCACTAGCACAGACATTACAGTACTTGATGTTGTTTCTAGTCAATGTTTTTTTTCATGTTTCTGCTTTTTTATTCTGTTTAAGATTTGTWATATTGGTCATCTTGTTCAATCAATACTCTAACAAACCTGTTGATGCTTTTAACAGTTTCAGATAATATATGTGTATATATATAAACAAAACAAGATAACAATGTTAGTGACCACCCGTATCAAMTCTGACATGAACATTTGAATTAAAAAGTTAAATGTCTTACAATGGTTACGGATTATATGACTTCTTGTTTTTCCTAAATGAGGCACTTAAAGCTAATTAAGTCATACATTTACAGAATTGTGAAGAGCACATTTCTGTGTTCTCCAGTAAACCAAAAGGCTTTTTACTCATTTGTTATTGCACTGATTGTCAGGGACATAAAGAGGAAAATCAGCATGACAACAGATGAAAGAACGATGGGATTTTATGTTGTTTTATCTAATATCGAGAGAAGATACTTTTTAGCAGTCTGTTACCATGCCCTCTTGTTAAATAACATAATACCATGTCGTTTTGTCTAGGCTGATAATTTGTACAGTGCATCAGTAAAAAGCAAGCCCTGATGGTAATTAGTTTTTAGTCTGGTTTTGAACCTACAAATGCTAGGTTGAAAAAAAAGCATTTGTTCTGTAATTAGAAAGAGAACTTTTATTTGTAAGTTGTTTATGAAATGTTCAAAATACCAGACTCAGTCATTGGTGTTGATATCACGTAAAACCCTAGGTGGATAAATTAAATTGTTTTTTTATTTATGTATTTATGTATAAGTGCAGACCATAATCAGCTGCACAGGACAACAGTAATGATATCTTCCCCAAGAAAAGGATGTTGAAAACTGCAAATAAATAAATAAATAAATAAATAAATAAATAAATAAATAAATAAATAAAAATAAAGAAAAACATTCTCAGTGCATGTAGCGAACAAGCAGCAACTTATCAATGCATTATCAAAATAATTATTTTTAGGTGAAGTGTTGACACAGGAATAAATAATACATACTTTGACAAAGCTGGCTTTTTTTTAATCAAGTTATCATGTTTATCAGTCCGTGGGGCTGTATTTAAATTCAAATGAATTCTTATGTTATTCAGTGTTATTAAAAAAAAGTTGCCTAAGCTGGTTAAAAGAATAATTAGATCCTATCTAAGGGGTGTTTGCAGAATACTTCATTTTGATTTATCAAGTGCTACATCAGGTCATTATCTAAGAAATTCACTTATGTCCCAATATTCCTAATTATTCAAAGGCTATATTATGGGTTTTCCTCATCTATCTGTTTTCTTCACAGGTTTTTAATTTATTTATTTATTTATTTATTTATTTATTTATTTTTCCTTATCAGGGTTGCTGGGAAGATGGAGCCTATTTCCAGCAGTCATTGTGCAAAAGACTGGAGAAAGTTCTAGACAAGTCGCCACTCACAGGACCATGAGACAAACAACCATTCACAGTCACTTACACCTAGTGGGGATTTACAGCGACCAATTAATCTAACATGCTTGTTTTTGACTTTTGGGTGAAACTTGAGTATACAAAGAAAAAAACACAAGTGAACGAGCAGAACATGCAAACTCCACCAAGAAAAGCTGGTAGGTGAACCTATGATCTTCCTCCTGTGAGAGGACTTCCTCCTTTGCTGTGGATTTTGCTTCATCCCGACTTATATTTTGGGTTTTACATGTATTTTTTAAAGTAACATTAAACACAACAAGTCAAATGACGGCATCACGTGAATCCTTTCAAACTGGTTTTGAAAGCAGTTAATAGTGAAATGGACATGAGGCTTTTGTCTACATTTTCTGAGTGCAGACTGACAATCGACATTGCTCCCTAATCACAGTAAGCTGAAAGATTTACTGTAAAAGCAACAACATCTGATTTCAGTTTGGCCACTGGAACAACAGTTATCACCCCACATTTTTATAACACGTCTCACACACTATGTCTTGTTGAGCTTTAAAACCAGTCTATTAACCAAAACGTCGTCTAGCAAGCTGAACGAAGGCTTACCCTGAATCTGTTCAAATCAATATTACTTTAAAGTGGAATAGGAATGTAGTTGTTCAGTCTTTTACATAAAGTAAAAAAAGTTCAGAAAAAAAATCAATTCAAGTCAGAATAAAAGAGCAAAAATATGTCAGCATATTCAAAAGTTATTCCTTACCTAGACTTTAGTCTGAAATTCTTCCTTTATAAAACATTCAATCAGATTTTAAAGCTTTAACTTATAATTACAAATAACTAAATAGTACTGTAAGAATGAAATGAAAGGAATTATTCTGATGTCCTTGCCTTCATCTTTGACCACCAACCAATCAAACTGTGGCTCAAGGTCAAAGTCAGAGAAGAAGAGATGTATGCGGCTTCCTGGTTCCGAGATAATCAACCACACACAGTTCAGGTTGTTACCGTACTCCTCGGGGTAGTTTGGAGATAAAACAGTCCCTGAGGGAGCTGTGAAGTTGAAGAAACAAGAAACTACAAGAAAGAAGAAATGACAAAATAAAGAATGTATGGGTTACTAAGTAGAAATGCAATCAGGTGCACAAAACACTAACATAACATAAAACGTAAAAAAGAGAGGCACAGTCATAAATATATATATATATATATATATACTGTGTATATTGTTGTACTCACAGACACAACTGGGTTTGTTGCCTGACCACTGGTTATTGTGCTGGCATGTGATGGTTTTCTCTCCCACCAGTTCAAAAGCTGACCGACAAAAGAAGGTCAACACATCACCATGCTGAAAGTGATCACCGCTACGACGACCAAATGCTGGTACCCCAGGATCACCACAGCCTCCCCTATCAATCTCTGCAACACAAAGACACAATCATGCTTGCATGCCTGGGATAATGTGGGTTAGCAAACAAAGGGTTACATGCATGTGTTTGCAAACATGTAAATAAACAACAATATCAAGCATAATTTCGGTAGTTATGAACCTGATGATAAAATTATGAAAAATAAATTGCTTGAAGTCTGTCAAATATAAAAGCAACCTTTTTTAAATTAAAAGGTAAAATGATCATGATCTGACATTTAAAGACAGTGACAAAGAAGAGTTAGTGATACTGTGAATGTCTTTTTAACTGCCGTTTTAATAAATCTGAAAGGTTTACACAGACTATTGTGTTTGTGCAAAAATTTTGGTCAGAACTGTGAATAGTGGATTTTATATAAATGAGCAAACAGACATGAAAATGCCTGTCGATTATTCTTCAGCTGTGCATGGATGTACAATCTGTGAGAAATTTATTTAATTGGTTCCCTCCTTACAGTTAATTGCCGTCATGATAATTGTAGTGCAATTCAGTTTTAACTGTGAAAGACAAAACAATAAGTGGAAGGAAAAACACAAAAATTCTGTGATAATCTTGAAGAGAAAGACAAATTTGACAAGAACAAAACTGATATTTACGTTATATACTGCATTAGACGTAACTTCTTGTTCTGTACATATTATGAGATTCTAACTGTTCTCTGCTTCTGCTCTTTGGAAATCATGAAGCTTGCATGTGCTTCAAACTAACAGTAATTCTGACCTGGCTGGCATTTCTATTCCCTTCATTTGAAACATTCTTTTAATCCTCATTTTATCCTACCAGGAGTGTACTTTTATACAGTGCTTCTCCTTTTCCGTTTTTCCATTTTGAAATCAGACATTCTGTCAGAGGTTTTGTCATCATGTAACACACGCTACGCTAAGCCCCTGGATCCACTTTAGACAAACAGATATCAAGATGTTGTTTAAGTGTGTGGATGTGTGTGTGCAGATGCCCTTCTTTTATTTTTTTAAATAGTTGGGATGTAAGAACATCCACAAGAATAGAATATAAAAGGACCTCAGATGTTTTTATGACCCATAGCTTGCTGTCTCACAGATGACGAGTGTCAGGATGAATATAAGTGAACTTGAGCCCCTGATAAAGGCTGTCACTATACTGAAAACTGCCTCGCTCACTCCTTTTTTTGCATTGTATTTCGTCTTATTTTAAGCTCCCTTACTATGATTTGCATTTTGTCATTTGTTTGAGTTTTAAGTCAACACCAGATTGCAGTTAAATTCATCATTTAACCCATTGAATGTTTTTTTCTTCTGTAATGAATTTAGAAAACTAAAAAAATGAAAAGAGACTATGACAGACATGTATATTCATGTTCTATTGTGACTCAAATTCCATACTGATATTGTTGATAATCAAACTTTTAATGCTGTTTTTTTCTACCATGAGCTTAAAATGTATGAAGCATTATTACATTTTCATAGCAAACTGATATCAGACTAGAAACATCTCTGCAGCATTTCAGCAAAAAGCTTTAATGATCATCACCCTCTGTTTGTTTATGCTATCGATACTGCAATTCGTTCCTAATAATTCACATGTCCTCCTGAGCCCGAGCAAAAAATACTGAGACGAAGTGTAAAAAAAAAGTGCAAACATGACACCAATTAAAACACAGTCTCACACCGGGACTGAAAAAAGGAAACTCAGGGGGTAAGACTGATCAAAGCGTAGAACGTTGTGACATTATTGCATCTGACAGCATCACATATTTCCACCCAAGGACACACACACACAAATCATACCACAGGCAGTTGTTGGCTTGTTCTGGGAAAACATCTTCTGGAGATCATTAAGTATTGTTTGCTTGTGTTTTATTATTATTTTTTTATGTACTCATGAAATGTATTTTTTTATTTTGTTATGTCTTTGACTTTCATAATATCAGGTACATAACATTTTTACAACCTTAGCTAAATTATAATGAGGGATTTAAATTAGTCATCAACTTTGTAAAGCTCATAG